CCCCCCCTCCCCCGGGCATACCCTGGGCATTTGACACCTTTGTCGTCCCGGGGAGGAGGGAATTTGATTATCAGAGTCTTCCAGGGAGTGGGTACTTTGAACCCCATGCGAAGGGGGTGGGGAATTGAACCGTAGTCTCAATTTCATGTGAAATCTCTGAGTGCTTTGCACGTGACAAGCTATCATGGAAGGGACGCGGTGTGCGACAAACATAGACTGCATACTTACAGACTGGCAGGTAAATGAGGTAAACATTGTTGTGAAATGCTCTAACAGATTTCCTCTCCCTAAACTAGACTTTTAGAAGATTTTTAGAATAGGGAATGTTTTAAAGCATTTCACAACAATGTTTACCTTGTTTACCTGCAAGTACGCAAGTCTGCAGTCTGCGTTTGTCGCACACTGCCTGCCCCGCATGTATGTTTATTAATAACGTGCCGCTATGATGCACATCAGTGAAATAGTCATAAATCGCATGTATGGAATGTAGTGATCTCAGTAGGACGGATTTTTTTATAGAACGCTTTGTATGTTGCATACACCTACAGTGTTTCTCAGTTTTTATTATATTGAATGTGAATTATTTGCTGTATTTATTAAGATTTTGTTCAACACTTGAAGGCGTTTTTTCCATCCTTCTGTGCCTGTGAAATGCCCCCAGAGTAGGGGCATTTGATCACCCGAATGGATCCTAGTGTGGGGCATTTGAACGGCATTTCAGCTCCTGGGAGGGGGAATTCTAACAATAATTTTTAAAAAAGTCAAATGCCTGGAGGGGTTGCCAGGGGGGGGAGGCTTCGATTTGACCGATACATTATTTCCAATCACAAGGGGATCCAAGTTGGAAAGAACCAAAAATGCGTAGGGACTAGGCCACTAACAGTACAAATTATGACTACTACAAGTGATCAACGACATGAAAGCTTGAATCTGCTCATCAGTGGATGAAAGTAACCACCCAAAGGAATATGGGACCAAATTAGTAGAACTGAACAATACTAGGTCCAAAATGTTCAAGAGAAAAATAGTTGGGGAAAGATATTGGAAGTTTTCACTTTCAGTCAATACTGGTCCTCTGCTTTAACGCTGTGTATAGAAGTGGGATGGGGACTTGGGAATTGGGGAAGCAAGACGAAGGACTTGGGGACATCAAGTATGGGATGCGGGGTTGTGTGGGACAGGGACGGGGACGTTAAATACAGGGACGTGGGGGAAGTGAATGATTATTGCAAAAGTAGGAGGTATATGCAATATCAGTCACTTTCCTTATGAATATGTTTTGGTGAATGCAGCTCACCCTACCCTCCTTATGGTTCCAATATTCCAGCAAGGAGACTTAGACATTGGTTTCACTTTCTTCAACGCAGGGGGTCTTCGCCACGTTGCGCGTCATGGAGGATTTCCACCGTAAGGTTATACTGCGTTTGTCTCGATTATGATTAAAATCCTAACACATCCTTGCTTGAATCTGGGAAACTAACAACGTCAAGATACCTTTTCCAAAATCTGAATACAAAGACTACAATATAACACTCGGTTTAGCAAAAAACATTTCTGAACCTAAATCTTCTGTATATTATTGTCGGGGATGTGCAAGGGTTGCGCGATTATCAAAGCAAAGGCAGTAAAAGCTTACAGTCGCAATCCTCAATCCTCCATGACTGTTTACAAAGCGAATACTCGGCGAAGACCCCCTGCATTGAAGAAAGTGAAACTACTGCACTGGTCTTCTTGTTGAGGAATATTAGAGCCCTGATTGGAACCCTAAGCAGGGGAGGGTGGGTTGCGGTCGCCAAAAGTTATACAGAATAACAGCATTCGATTCCAAATAAATAAAAAAGGAGACTAAATTAAGTGGCATAGGCGAGCTTCGAACTCCGAAGTGCTAGCTCCGAAATCCATTGCCTGTACCACTTTTATACACAGCCTCTGCAGCTTAAGAGACTTAATCATAAAAGAGCAATAAGGGTCTTACCGACTTCTCTGTGGCTTTCCATCCTCCATAAATTCCCCATCTTTGATTCTCGTATGTTTGTACTTTCACTCTGATCGGTAGTTCAGTGGAGTGAACAAACAGGTACGGCTGCTGGCTAGCGCTGATCGCCCACGCGCACTGTTCTACTGCTGAAATTCGCTTAAAACAGTTCCTTGATCCGAGTTTGGGAGTAGAGATATGGCGCCAGGATTTGTCTCGTAAATTAAACAGGAAAACTCTTCCGTCTCGGTCGATGAACCATAAATGACTGGTTCCCATCTTTGTGCAAAGTTCAAAACCGCGTCGTGAGGTTAAGATACAATCCGCAGGAGCTCAAGTAAGTGGATACAAAATGCTTTTTATGTAGCATCCTCGAACAAAGGTAAAATTTGATACCTACAGAGGAAATGAATAAGAAACGGTCCTTAACACAAACATAACCCAGGACTGCTCTAAAAAGTGAAAGCGCATACTGGGGTTGGTGTACTCCGCAGGTCAACAAACGTCCTACCGCAGTTTCAGTTATAAAACTAAACATTTTCATTTTCACTCTGAGATATGAGTAGTTCCATCATTTTTCTTTTCATTTTCCTCAAAAGTACCTTAGAGCGCATAGAATAGTCCTTTTCGGGGAGAGAGTAGCCTGCGTAGGAGGGGGGGTTGGGACAGTAGGGGGTTCGAGTTTCACGCACAACTTAGGCCCAGTTCAGACGTCTTGCTTCTGCGGTGCCGAACTTAATGGTAATTTGATTCGACTGTAGCACGGCAGGAAAACAACTTTGATTCAGACGTCGTGCCATAGTTGAACCAAATTCAGGATTTACTGATGCCTCGTAACAATTCTTCTCCCAACTCCCCGTGGAAACGCAATTTCGCCAAAATTAAAATTCGCCAACATTAATATATTTATGAATTTTGTTTAGGGCGGCAGAAGCACGACGTTTGAATCGCTGCCGTGGCAGAGCCGTGTAGCACGGCAGCGCTTGTCGAACTTAATTGCTTGCCGAACTTAATTCAAAAGTTTGATTCAGACGTCGTGCTTCTGCCGTGCTTTTGTCGAACTTAATTCCTGAATTTAGTTCGGCACGGCAGAAGCACGACGTCTGAACTGGGCCTTAGGCCCTGTCCACACTAGAGCTGAGAGTCTCTATGGGGTTAACCGATAGGCGTAAAACGGCCAAAAATTTAGTCAGTAGCCGTAAAAATTGAAGAGTTTTAACCGTTAACCGTAAATACTCACGAGCCCCAAAGAGGGCGAAACAGCTGTCTATAGCTACAATCCCGCTCTGTTTTGAGTTCTTTCGGTGTCGTGTCGGATGTCTTGCAGAGTTAATTTTCACGTAGTACGATCAGTGTTGCAGTATTCTGCTTGCAGAATTTAATATGTCTAGGGTAAAAAGAGTTAACCGTACAAGAAAATGTTCCCTACCTCAACGAGCAATCTAGGAAGTTCGGTCTAGGGTGACTTGACCTTAAAAACTTTAACGCCTCGCTAAAAATTGCCGCAAAACAGAAAATTATTTTTTATCGACCCAGCAGCAGCTAGATCTGGAAGTAGCCCTGTTGCTTGACTGAGATGGTGAAAGCCAGCTGAACAGAAAATACCCTAGAAGTAATGAATCCTATAATAAAACTCCGCGTGGAGTCTTGCGGATCGGAAAACAAGACTCCCGTAGAGCTCATGTTTGCGGGAACTATATTTTCCATGGTGAAAATCTGGTTTTCTTGCTGGGGATTAATAGTTGCGATTTCAGGAGGTCGTGTTCTCAGAATACTAGTGAAACAACTAGCAGAGATGATGTCACTGTTTGTAAAACAGGTTGCCGATAAACATTGTCAATCTGTAACATTCGATTCCCTGTTTTTCTCTGACGCACGAACGGCAGACAGTCGTTCTGTACAGTCCTTCGCTATATTAAAAATCATGACTATTATCCGTGGTAAAAATACACTGGAAACTGGAATTTTGTCATTTTTGTTATGACTGGACGTCGCGCTTCGGCCACGAATTGGGCGTTCGCGTGTCTGCTTTTGCTTTTTCACGAAGATTCTTTTTAAATTAACTGCTGATGTTTCCAGCTATGCGTAAAACACCTAGTAAAACAATATTAGAGGTGGAATACTTTAAAAGTATGATCTATCAAATACTACTGTTGAAAGTAAACTCAGCATTTGCCATTTGGTCATGTCATAACTAACTCATGTTTTTTTCTCAAACTAGTCACTAAAAAGCCTTGATTTCATCAACTATTAAAATAACTTTGTTAGAATGATGCTAAATTAAGTGCAATATAATGATTCAGTTAGTGAAAATAGAAATAAAACCTATTTTTTTAGAAAAAATGAAAACTTTAAAAACATGGCTAGAAAAGCTTTGTTGCCAAGGTAACGTCAAGTTGACGTACACGTCCCGACGACTTTAAAATGTTTCTCGATAATTTTTAGGAGAAGTCACGAATTTTGGTGGTCAGAACTTGAACTGTTTTCAAGTTACAGTCGAACCTCCAGTAACGGCCACCTCTCCATAACAGCCACTTTTTTTCGTCCCGGCGGACAATTCATGAAGTACATTGACTCTTGTTTAAACCTCTCTACAACGGCAATGGTCACTATAGCATGTCCCTAACTGCCAAAATAACCTCTCGACAACGGGCAGCTTTTTCATCGACTGATGAAAAAGACGAAAATGGTTATCAAATATGATCCGTATGGCGCGCCGATGATCAATCGCGGCAATCATAGTCAGTTGATTGTGTTGTTATTTCTACTGCTGCAGTGAGCATAAATTGTCTACGATACTTACGGCAAATGTTGCGAACCTTGCTCGTTTTGTCACGTGAACATGAATTTGATTTAAAACATTAGTCAAGTTTTTGTGTACTTTATGTCTATATAATTATTATATTTGAATGGATTACCATTATGAGAATACTAAAAGTGAGCATGAACTTAGCACCAAAAACATGTTTTACTCCTCAGAAAAAATTTTCATATTACTTCCTACCTCCCCATAACGGCCACTTTCATCTGTCCCCAAGGTGACCGTTGTGGAGAGGTTCGACTGTACTCAACTTTCTCGAGAGGAGCGCAGAGGGCTCCAAAAGCCCCCCTCAGCCTGAGTAAGGTTAAAAGGTTAAACTAAACCTTAATGAATCATGTTAAAGAGTCATGAGGTTCCCCAAAGATTTTTCAGGATGCGGAATTAGCCTTATTTGAAGGCCCTTGCCGGGGGAGGGGTGGGGTCTCAAAAAATGTTTATACTGGTACTGGGAGGCTCCGCCCCGAGGTCCAAGTCCAACCCCTTACCCTTTTATATACCATTTTTNAACGTATGAAACTGTTTATTGATATTGTTATGAAACGAATCTATCTATTTAACATTTCAGCCTGGAATTACAGAAAGAAAATAGGATTTCCGGTTTGCAAAAAGGAAAATTTCGCCGGCCTTGAAGCGCACGGGAAGCGCGGAAAGAGCGCTCGTGCCAGTCCTACTCCGCATCACACATTAAATGAAGAGCGGAGCGCTCGTTTCACCGCCCAACATTTATCCGCCCTGTTCTGTACAGTCCTTCGCTATATCAAAAATCATGACTATTATCCGTGGTAAAAATAAACTGGAAACTGGAATTTTGTTATTTTTGTTATGACTGGACGTCGCGCTTCGGCCACGAATTAGGCGTTCGCGTGTCTGCTTTTGCTTTTTCACGAAGATTCTTTTTAAATTAACTACTGATGTTTCTATGCGTAAAACAATATTAGAGGTGGAATACTTTAAAAGTATGATCTATCAAATACTACTGTTGAAAGTAAACTCAGCATTTGCCATTTGGTCATGTCATATCTAACTCATGTTTTTTTTCCCAAACTAGTCACTAAAAAGCCTTGATTTCATCAACAGTTAAAATAACTTTTTTAGAATAATGCTAAATTAAGTGCAATATAATAATTCAGTTAGTGAAAATAGAAATAAAACCTATTTTTTTAGAAAATAATGAAAACTTTAAAAACATGGCTAGAAAAGCTTTGTTGCCAAGGTAACGTCAAGTTGACGTACAAGTCCCGACGACTTTAAAATGTTTCTCGATAATTTTTAGGGAAATTCACGAATTTGGGTGGTCAGAACTTGAACGGTTTTCAACGGTTTCTCTGCAACGGCCACTTTTTTTTGTCCCGGCGGACAGTCCATACATTGACTCTTGTTTAAACCTATCTACACTGGCCACCTCTCTACAACGGCAACGGCCACTACAGCGTGTCCCCAGTGTTATCAAATATGATCCTTATGGCGCGCCGATGATCATTCGCGGCAATCATAGTCAGTTGATTGTGTTGTTATTTCTACTACTGCAGTGAGCATAAATTGTCTACCATACTTACGGCAAATGTTGCGAACCTTGCTCGTTTTGTCACGTAAACATGAATTTGATTTAAAACATTAATCAAGTTTTTGTGTATTTTATGTCTATATACCGGTAATTATTATTTATATATGAATGGATTACCATTATGAGAATACTAAAAGTGAACATGAACCTAGCACCATAAACATGTTTTACTCCTTGAAAAAAAAAATTTCATATTACTTCCTACCTCCCCATAACGGCCACTTTCATCTTTCCCCAAGCTTAAGGTGACCGTTGTGGAGAGGTTCGACTGTACTCAACTTTCTCGAGAGGAGCGGAGAGGGCTCCAAAAGCCCCCCACAGCCTGAATAAGGTTAAAAGGTTAAACTAAACCTTAATGAATCATGTTAAAGAGTCATGAGGTTCCCCAAAGATTTTTCAGGATGCGGAATTTGCCTTATTTGAAGGTTCTTGCCCCCCCCTTTCGTATACTTCAGCGAGTAAAGTCCCCACCTTTTCATATACCTAAAGCCTCAAAAAGAT